AAGGAAAACAAGCACAGAAATATTTAGATTTAGAAAAAAAATGGGTGCCCAACCTTCGAGGTCTAAGTTTATAATGATTTTTCAATCAGGATTTCTAGCATCTTAGACACTCATAAACAAAGTTTTTTTTATATAATATATGAGAATCTACAAAGTTATTTAATATATATTTTTTTTATAAAAATAAATAACGTTCGATTCGATGCTATACATACTTTTGCTACATGGGGTTACCAGAAATTAGTCATAGATAACGGACTTCAGTTCACAGGTCACATATTTGGAGACTTTTTGCAAAACCAATGGTAGGAAAAATAGGAGCACGCTGAGTACTGGGAAAAGTTAATTTACTCTAATTTAGAGCTACTAATTTATAAGGCTCGGAATTTTAGCCTAATAAAAATAATTACATCATACATGATTGGTTAAAGAAGATTTAAAAATTATTACAGAGAAAATGTGTTTTAGTTTACCAAAATTAACAAAAAATAATCTCAATCTTTATTATTTAGATTCATAAATAAAGCTTTTAAAATCTTAATAAATGAATTTTAGGAAAGTTTAAATTTAAACCCTACTTTTTTATCTGATAATTTTTTTTAATCACGAAACATGAATTAATATGATTCTGAATGATATTTATAAAGTTATTGAGCTAGGTCACGTTTGGTCATGGGATAAATGGTCCTATAAATTATTGCATATTTATTCTTTATTCTGCTTAAAACGAATGCAAATAATTTTCGATAAATATTCATCAATCTCTAAAATATTAATTTATATTATAATAATAATATTTTATTTTAATTTTTTTTACAAATAATCCTAAAATTTCTTAAATTTCTAAATTCAATTGAATATACTTAATTATTGCGCATTATGAAATTATCAATAAATTAATATACTTTAGAGTAATATAACAATATCAAAAAATCTTTTAATTTATTTCAACCTTTATTTTATGTGGACCAACTAACACATAGATGTTCGTATCCATAGTATGTCATGGGTAGGCCAGATAATATTTTATTAAAGTATACTTTTTAAGCCTAAGCTTTAAGAGTATATATGAAGTTTTTTTATTCAGATTAATCTGATATTATTAAATTTATTCAGGTTTGAAAGTGTTCCAAACATCTCGTCTCTCCTATAAACATATTCATACTCGCCCCCCTCCCTTCCCACCACAACCCTAGCTCTAACGGGATAGCTGAAAGGCTCGTTCAGAACTTAAAAGTATAGAATTTACTATATAAATGCTTATTAGTTTATTGGAAAACTCCGTATGCATGCTACAAATAATAAACCACGAGCTCAGAAAATGATAGGAATAAACGTAAGATTGCGTTTAGATTTATTGAAAAAAAAAATAAAACCTAAACGAAAAACCGACACACGAGATATCAAATGAGACAAAGAATTAAATATTGGAGAAATGATATGGATCAACGTGCATCAAAACCAAATGGATATAAATATTATGTACAAATAAAATAATAAAATATGGGTCTGCCAACAGGTACAAACTGAGCTGGGATAAAATTTCAAAAATTAATCTTTTTTCGCAAATTTCAAAAACTTTTAAAATAAGTTTCCTTTTTTTCTAAAAATTAAGCGAAACATTATTTCTAGAAAAATTTTAAAATTTAACATACGATTTTGGTTAAAATTTGCGAAATTTTAAAATTAAAAATAAATAGATGTTTTTAGAAGGTAATTTTCTTTTTAAAAAAATACTTTTATTAATCACCAATTTATTGGAAAATGATAAATATTAAAAAAAAATGAAATCAATAATATAAGAAATTGTTATAAATAATAATAAAATAAACGCAATATTAATAAATATTATTCGATCTAATAATAAATCATCTTTATTCGAGATAATAGACATAATTGTCTAGCCGGTAGAATAAATATGTCTTTACAATTCTTGATCTCTTTTTTATTTTAGTTTGGAGATTAATTTTCTTTACTTTTGATGCAGGAAGCCCTCTGTTACTTTTAGAAACTTTTACAACCTAATGTTGTACTTGGGAAAGTTACTTTGGGATCTTAAAGGTTTAATAATGTGCATTAGAGTTGTTAAAAGAATTCTAAAAAAATATATTAGCTTTGATTTTGAGAAATTATACTAGGAAGCCGTAAAGAATAAATTAATGTCTTCCGCAAAAAATATTTATATTACGTTTTATGTTCCCTAATTGTAAGGTAATTCGGTATATTTTTTGTGAAAAAAGTCTGAGAATTTAATGGGAATAGTTGATTTAGAAAGTCTTTCTGCTGAAGGCATTGCTATTGCATTTTAAAACAACTTAATGATTTAGAGATTAATCGTAATATAAATTTTTTTAAAAAAGCAATTGTGATTGGTGAATACGCCATTTCTGGTCGAAATGGAGGAGTACAAACTTTTAAAAGGAATTAATTAAACGGTGCTTTATAAACAATGTCAATATATAGGCATAATTTATGTATAATATTTTTTTAAATCAAATTCTCACATTCTGGTGCATCTGTTGTTTCATCAACCTTAAGACAAAAAAAAAGGCTTAGCACTTTTGCTATAATTTCTTGTGATAAATTCTAACACCATTTTTTGCCGTAATCGATATGACTTCATTTTATTGATGTATATTGGGGCAATTTTTGGTATTGATTTTATAATTTTTATTATATTTCATATTTTTGGCAGGTGTATGAAAACATTTCAATAAAAAAACTTTGAAAAATTTACACCTACAGCATCAGTTATTGATGAAAGGAGAGCTCTTGTATATTGAGAAATTGTATAAATCAAATATTAATTTTAAATAATATCGATTAAGCTCAACTTGACGGTTCTTGAAAATTGTCGATATATCTCTATCCTCCTTTATTACCATTTTTATCAAGACATATTGAATTTAAATTATCTTAAGATGTTTCATGCTAGAGCTATATTTTTTTCTAATTAATGGTTAATGTTAAATGAAAATTTAATAACGAATATTTTTTTAAAAATTGTGGAGCCGTAAATATGAAATTTAGGGGCCAGGTTTAGGGGGCAGCAATTTTTATGAGGGAGGGGTGGACAACCCCCCCCCCCCCCCCCCACTGCTATCAAACTAATTACTATTTATATTTTTCAAAGTTATTACTTTGAATGTAATAATTAAACTAAATACATGGATAGGTTGTTACTTAAAACTAGCTGTTACCCACAAATAATTATTTTTTTTAAAGAGAAATAAACCCTAACTAGTTAAATTCAAATCTTTTAAATGTAAATTGTAACTGTAACTATAAAATAACAAAAACTTTTATTTATTATTTACTATTGCATAAATGATAATTTTTTAGGATAAAAACAGGTTTTTAATGGTGAGGAAAACAAGATCAAATACTATAATGGAGAATATAATCTACCAATATTTTATTATAAATTTTTCTTTTACAAACATTCATCTATCTACCTAAATTTTGTTACAAATCTTTCAATCACAATAATTTAGCTAAAATGATATTTAAACGTTTTATATTATTTTCGCTGTTTTTCCAGTGTTTTTTGTTATTCAAAGCCGCTTACCTATTAACGATTATGAATCACATTTAAAAAAAACATACTTAGTATAATTAACATCGATATAGGGAATTTCAAAAATTTCCCAGCCCCCTAGCATTAACCCCAAGCGATAAGTTCTAGGAATATTTTACAAATTTTCCTACAGGACTTCATATTTTTTTTAAGCGGTAATTCAGGGAGCGGTTAAAAATAATTTGTAAATGATAATATATCATAGTTGCCCTATGCAAATAAAGAATGAATATTAATAACTATAGCTCCCCCGCACGCATTTTAAGAAATGTATTTTTTTATAGTAGTGTCTAAAAGTTACATTTTTTAAAAAAATAACGCGCATCCACCATTAGTAAGCTAAAGTCATTACTAATGACGTTATTTTGCTAGAGGGCTTCGCTAACACTTATAATTTAAGAATGCTAAAGAGTTACCTTTTTTTTAAAAAAATGTACACGCGTCTAAAAATAATTCACACGTGTTCCCCCCTCCCCTCTCTAAAAATGGCGCGGCTTAGTGAGATATATTTATGGCAGCGAATTAAATCCTTTCATTTTTTTTTACAAATGAATGGCTGGCATTATTAAAATTCTTTTTGGAGAAATAAATTAATAGTTTTTTGTTAAAACAGCATGCATGTTTTTTTTATAAAAACTTTATTATTCCAAAGAATATCGATTTTAAAAATAGGCTAAACTAATAAAATCTTATATTATATTTTTTAGTAATTAAAGTAACTAACGAAAGCACAAATCTTTTAATAGTTCAAAAAAACTTTCTTTCTTTCTTTCTTTCTTTCTTCTTTCTTTCTTTCTTTCTTTCTTTCTTTCCTTCCTTCCTTCCTTCCCCTTAAATTTTTTTTCTCTTCAAAATCAAACCCTTCTTGGGATGTTGCTCTAGTTGGGGGGGGGGGGACTCAATAATAGGGGGTAAAAAAGTCCTTTTAAATCACGTGATTTAACCGAATTTCTAATTGTGCGTTATTTTTCCTAATATATAAAACATTTTTTTTTAAAATGATATATAAATTTTTACAAGGTTTTAAATTTTAAATATCACTTGCTAAATATAATAAAAAGTTTTAAACAAAAATTTCTTCAAATGAGATTGATTAAGGTTATCGTTGATCTCGTAAAAAATGGAATCATGAAATTTTAATTTTCAATTAAATTATTATTTTTAAATTTTTAAAAAAAATTATATTACCATTTCAAATGATTTATTATATTAGTATGTATGGTTATCTGTTTAATAGTTATTTTATTAATACAAACTAAATGAAATGACATAGGGATTCAGATACAGTATAGAATATTTCCATCCAAAAAAATAATTTCTTTTAAAACTTTCTTTATTTGCTAAATGAAATGACATTTTAAGAGATTTGGTCAGATACAATATAGATGACGATAAATATAATTTAAAAATTGTAAAACAAAATTGGGAAAATTGCATTATTTTTTAAAATTTAATTTTTTTAAAAAAAGGAAGATATAAAAATTGAATAATTGAACGTTTTGGGTAATCAATTTTCAATTCTTCAATTTATCTACGAAAATGAGTGATCAAAATATTTAAGGAATATCTTTATAAAAATAAAATGTATGCTAGCTATTCTCTAAATATAGTGGTACAAATTTTATTGAAATGTCTGTGGGCAGTTTTAAAAACATTTCACTTAAAAAAACTTAATTATATCACTTATGTCTTTCTTTTGTGTATGATCAAATTAATTTTTTGATTTTATAAATGTTCATTGTAAAAAGTAGAATGAATGGGATAAATGTGTATATATAAAATAATATTAATATTCATTGGGCCTTTTCGTATGGATCGAATTCGACTAACACCTCCGCGCAAGATTCTGCTTTTCCGTGAGTATTCGTGACTACGCACTTGTAAACGCCCTCTTCATCCCGTCTGGTGTCTGGGATGGTTAAAACGACCAATCCCTTGTCTTCTTCCACGTCAAATATGGCCCTTTTCCCCTCTTGAATTTTTTTATCGTTACAAAACCATTCAACCTTGGGAAAAGGGTCTCCAGTTACCTTAGCCTCGAATCTCGATCCACTATGCTCGCACACCTCTTTGCAAGCAGTAGTTAAGGGTTTCACAAATTTAGGAGCGGACATTATTATAAAGTATACGTGAAATGAGGTTTAGCGAAAAAACAAATTATCGTCTTTATCTGTAAAATATATTTTTTAGAAAAATGGTTGTATTTTAAATTCATATAAATACCTATTATTTTATAAATCTTGAAATAAACTTATTTTCGTGTTGGACGATTATAACTTACTCTATAGCCCACGAAAGGTAAATCAGCTGGTTTTGTTAAACGCTTCAATTTAACGGATTCTAAATTAAAATTTTTAGCCAGAATAATATTAGAGTAAGCTTCGGGATTCAGCGGAAACTTGCGTGATAATTTTTGGCTAAAATCTTTAAAAAATAGAACCTCTTATAAACCCTGAATTCAGCCTTCCGACATTGTTTTAAATTCAATGTATAACCCGTTTTAGGGTGTTTTTGCAAAATATTTCAGATTCTTTTCCGAAAAACAATGATTTAAAAAATATTAACTTACAAATACAAATTAATACCCTAAGAAAAATCATAGCTAAAAAAGTGCTTTATTTAATTTTTCCCTGGTTTAAAAAAAAAAGGGAAAGACCTGCGAATTTTTTGTAGTTTGGAGAGCTAACTACAATAATTTTAATGGTATTATTTGTGTACGGAATAATCGTGTTGTTAAATGGCTCTATTTAAGCCGATTTATAAAAAAACGCTAAATCAATATTTTAACCATAAAAATATTGACTAAGCCTCGATATTTCGCTAATACATGTCCAAACCTTTCTGTCATATGTGAGCAAAATCTTCACGCTTGCTTAAATTTTTCTGGGAAAAAAATTCGGTTCAAAACAAGCCGTTTAATAAGACTATTGAATAATTTAATATTAAAAAGGTCAATGGATTAATTTAAAAAAAAATGTAAATTATGTAAATATTAAATAATATCATTTGTTGTAAAACATTTATATTATATATTTATAACTTTCTTATAAAATTGTTAAACTTGCTGAAGTTATTGTAAAAAAAAAATAACATATTGATAAAAATTTTTTAAAAAAATAAAATAATTATACAATTTTATAAGAAAGTTGTTGCAAATATAGGAAAATACAAAAAAAATCATAATACTGTAATATGAAAGTTCCCGTTTCTAAATCGCTAAAAAAAATCACTAAAAAACAAAATTAAATTGGGAATTTTGCTTATAATTTCTAGAAAATATTTTTAAAGTAAAATTGAAATTAAAATTAATTAGATGAAGTATTTTTTTAAAATGGCTAAAAATAGAGGAAATACTATCAATATCCTCAGAATGATTTAGTATCTATCAATATTAGTTTTAATTTTAATAGATATAAGCGCGCTTACCAATTTTTTTTTTGCCATTTAGAACGTATCACAGGAAGGTTAAATGAAACATTTTAAAGTTTAAACCAACAAATTCCATATTTTTTCATTAGCAATTTTTTTTTTGGTTTAATTTTAACGTTCCGTAATCTACAAGTGAGGATTAAAAAAAAATCAATATTTATTTAGGCGCCTAACTCTTCCTCCTTCAATATGTTTTTGTCCCTCGTGGTATTATAAAATCGCTCCATTTGAGCCGATTCTTAAAAACGGCTAATCCGTATTTTATCCAGAAAAATAGCCCAAAGATTTTGCTCATAGATTGCACAAAATTTTTGGATGTTAGCAAAATCTCTTAACTTTTAAGCAATAGTTTTCTGTCTAAAATATTGGGTTAACCGTTTTTTTCAAAAAATTGTCTCAAATTAAACGATTTTGCATCACTACTGGAATCATAAATATCGTATTTATTAAATAAGAGTAATTTTTTTTACCTGAAAATCTTTGATTCGCGTAACAGAATTATAAGAATAATTATCACAAAAAAATAAAATTTAAAAGGTAATAATTAAAAATGAATTTAAATTTTTTTCAGTGGATAAAAAGTTTTTTAAAAAAAATTTAGAATGAAGTACCTAAAATGGGAAACAGATGCTTGCTAGAAATTTTTTTTTTATTCAATCAATAAAATAAATTATTAAATATATGAAATAATATAATACAAATAATGTTGATTATTTCATGATTTTAAAATGCAATGTGTATTTTTAATTCTTCTATTTTTTAACTATCTTTCTAATCTACAAAATTCTTATCTTTTTTAAAAAAAAAAATGAAATCAGACGGAATTCCGCAATGAGCAATGAAAATTTGCTATACTATACTAATACTTTTATTTTTTAAAACAAAATAATAAAAAAATTTCTAAAATAATAATTAAACAAAATTTTAATAATGAAAATTTTTTTTAATAATTTTAAATCATAGTCTTTAAAAGTTATATCGTGAATGTGATTGTGATATTATTGATAATATTATATAACACAGCTGTCATTTTTACTGGATGCAAAAAAAATCCATGTAAAAAATATCCTTCCTTAAAGATAATCGAATTAACATGCTATAAAAAAATTTTTTTCCGAAACACTTCTACAAAATAAAAATTTCCGAAACGACATTTTTCAGAAAATTTTGTTCCGGTAAGCGCCAATTGGATTTTTCTAAGTTATTTACTTAAAAATTTTTTTAAATGCTTACAATTATTTTGACCTATTCTTATGTAATCGGTTCCTCTCAGGCGTCTACGCAACGTATGGGGGGAGGGGAGAAGCAAATTTCCCCTTCCCCAAAAGCCAAAGATTCCGGCTAAAATATTTTTCAAAAATATTACTTTATTTATCACATTCACAGCAGAGATAAATGAAATCTAGGAAAATAATTCCCAGGAAAAAAAATGCCCCCTTTTTAAGATATTAAATTTTACAAAATTAATAAAATAAGAGAAAAAATTCCCACCCACGAAATAAAAATCGTAATAAAATATTTAATCATTTTGAGAAAATAAATTCCGGGGAATTATTTCTTAATGGGGATTTTTTTTTCCGGTATAATTATTTTCGGCTTATCGAGATAAATACGTTACTAATTTATTCTATAAATTAATATCGATTTCAAATTTTCCTCGGCGCCATATTTACCTACAATTTTAAAATTTCCTATTAAATCATTTGAAACGTTATCGCTGCAAAACTAAAATAAAATATTTCAAAAAAAAATATATGACAGACTTAGACTTTGAGAATAGCCGAAATTATGTTGGAACTTAAGGAAATTAGGACAAATAAATGAAAAATTTCATAAATTATATGTCATTGGTGAGTGAAAAGCAGGACTCTATGAAATTTAATATTTGTCTACCTCGACTCGCAGAAAGACAAATGGGTCGTTTAACAACACATTATAATTCTTAACAATATTTTTGCACATCTATATTTCCGACATTTGTCAAGTTTCAGAATATGATCTTTCTTATTTTCGGTTTTGGCAAAGTGCCAACACTTTCTTATTTTGCTCATAACTCACAAGCGGTTTATTTTGCTGATGTCCGGATAGAAATTAGGTGCAATTAAGACTCTAAATAATGGCATAACTTTTGTTAATTGCACTTCATGTCGTTCTGCCCGCTTAAAAATTTCACATTTTCCTTATTTTACTCATAACTCACGAACATTCTGCTGATGTCCGGCGGATAGAAGTACAATTAGGTGCAACTAAGACTCTAAATAATGGCATAACTTTTGTCAATTGCACCTCAAGTCGTTCTGCCAACTTCACGGACCTATAGTGAATTCATTGGCCGATATACATTTAATAGTTTATCATTAATTTATATTTATTTGCGTAATTAGAAATTGTAAATATCTGAAAACCTTGAATATTCATAAGTAAATGTTTTAAAAATAAACTATCACCCCCCCCCCCCCTCTCCCTCCTTCCAAACGAATTGCTGCTAACGCGTCGTTCCAATGATTCTATTATCTTTCTAAAATTAATCGGCATGCTAGAGCCAGAGATCCAGACCTTATGGAAAATCGGTTAAAGTGTAGATTCAGATAAAAAAATAACGGTTAATGGTTCAGGTTTTGTTCGTAAAAAAAAATAAATATCGGTTAGGTTCGGTTTGAACATTTATAAACAACCCGTTACATACAAACCTATTAAATTTTTTTTTTCAAATTATTGGTCTAGAAACTACTTTTTTTTTTCAATACATTTTTTGTTAATCCATTTTTTTTCAAAAATATAAAATTAAAAATCCCGCCTTAGTTTGAACAAAATGTGCGTTACGTTTTTTTTAAACGCTTAATTTATGTGCGCAATACGATTAAAATATTTTCAAGATTTCTCGCAAGTTATCTCAATAACCCTGCATTCATAGTTATCACGAATTCGTGGCTAAGTATATAAAAATACAGAAAAATGGAACATATTTTGTATACTCGCTTTGAAAGGCCACGAATTCGCGCTAACTGTGAATTCGGGGTAAGGAGAGAGAAAAAAGGATCCAACATTTGTTATGCACTAACTTGGGTAGCTTGAAACCAAATGGCAATAGAATCTAAAAATAGTTACTGATACTTAACAATCAAAACTCACTGGTATAGTTATAATCAAAAGGTTCAAACAGAGTTTGGGATATATATTTAACGGTTCAGGTTTGGTTTAGGTTCTGTAAATAATAACGGTTTATACCTGCTTTAACGTTCGGTTCAGGTTCGGTACGAGTCCCTGGCTAGAGTCCCGCAAGTCGGCAAGGATTAATTTGCAAGGCTCCGCTGCATGTAAATCGACCATTTTTAAAAAAATTGGACTTTGGCTGAGGGTTCTGAATTGGTCCCGGTTAAACCTTTACTAATTATAAAATATAAATGTGCGAATTACTATGAGAAAATTGTTCCTATTTAAAATGAATAAAATAAGGGATTACGAGAGAAGTCGAGGGTTATAATATAATGCTTTTGAAAATAGGCGAAAATTTGTCAAAATATCTTGGTAATGCAGCATAATTTATTACTTATTTTATCATAATAATATAATGCAGTCTTGCTCTCAAAGAAATCTCATGAATAATTATCAAAAAATTATTGTTTAAGGAAGAGAAATATTTTTTTAAAATTTAAAATTTTTAGATCTTGGGTTATTGAAATTTTACCTAAGCCCAATAGGAACTTAGACAAATCAATATTATTATTCCCTGTTGGCGACAATATTTTGATTTTATTCCTATAATTCTTGATAGCATGGTCTTTTAAGTTAATATCCTACCATAAACCACTTATAACAAATTACGAAGAAGTGGTGATGGATGCTAATAATGGATTTAACGAGAATCACAGCGTTGGAAAATAATTTTGTCATCAATATAAACATTATTTTAAAACAAGGGCCACTAAATATGAAACCAAGACAAACACTACCGAAGGGACAGAATGACCTTATAGATTGTGACACAGATTAAAAGAATAGCCCTATATAAAACGAGAAATCACAAATAGCTCAAATCGAAAGGGATGTTAAACTAAATCAAGTGATGCTATATATACGTCAAGGATGACCCCAAGATCTTAGCGGATATTTTTCTGACTATGTAACGAATAATGAGATACATATTTTTTTACCATTCATATTTCTAGCATGCGTATTAAGAAAAGTCCACATTGTCTCTTTGAAGGCAGCCAGAAAATATTGTAGCCGTAACTAAACCAATGCCAGAGCTCGTTAATAAAAAGTATGATTTAAGTATCAACAATATAAAGACAATTCACAACATCTCAAATGCTCCATGTTCCGAATTTAATACTGTAGGTAAAAGAGTGCACACTGACTTGGCAGGATCCTTATATGATTAAAATTGACTAATAGTCGTAGACTCGTGCTTCAGATGAATACTAATTCCGTTAAAAAAGGTTTTACAAGGTATATTCGTACACATAAGTTAACCCATATCTTTAGTCACAGTTAACGGGCTCCAGTTTAGAAGCCAAGAGTTCAACTACCTGAGAAATAAATCATACGTATAAACCCCCCCCCCCCTCAATTATGGCTTTACTGAACGTTTTGTCCACACTTCAAAGACACTATGAGAGGCTTTTCCAAAACCTATTAAAGATATATAGATTTCGAATTATAAAAATGAATCGAATCAAATATTTGCTATTCGTATATTCGTATGTTTGAAGAGAATAATTGATCTGTATTATGAATAAAATAATTCTTTACTCGTATTCGTACGAATAATATAAACATTATTCGCTTTTGATTTGTCAAATATTCGATTTGATTTATCGAATATTCTATATTAAATTCTTTAAAAATTTATTCAAAAATGAAAAAATGAATTATTATAATTAAAAAAAAATGATTTATAGATGTGGGGAAAAAAAAATAATAAAAAGTTCCGCAAGAAACATATTAAATACTTAAGAAGAATATTTTCAAATATTTCAAATATTTATTAATAAATTTTGAATATTGATTAATGGCTAATTTTGAATATTCATGAATAATTTCTAATAGTTGCAAATAATTTAGAATATTTATAAAGTAGAATAATTCTAACATTATATTATACGAATAATTCGAACAATTAATAGATAAAAAATTATTCGACAAAATAACATATATTTTTTTTATTGGCATTCAATTCGAAAATTTTAATCTAGGAATTTTGTATTCCTATTTGTAAAATGCAAATCGAATCGAATATCGTATAATATCAAGCAATCCGATATTCTAATAAAAACATCATCACACTTATAAAGCTGAGAAATCAGACATAATACGAGAAAACTCCAATTCATATTTCAGAGGAAATAAACTTTATCCGCTTTAAAACCTTAAATCCAAGTTGGGAACAAAAAATAATAATTGGTAAACAGAATATATGAGGTAAATAAATAATCCATCACTCTATATTACTATCAAAATAATAGAAAGTAAAGGGATAGAAAAGCCTTCTCCCCATTCTAAAAACATCTGGAACTTATGTACCCTATGAAATCTAACAACTTTGTGCAATAAATACCAGCTTCAATACTTCGTTCAGCTAAACACTCCCCTTCCATTCATCACGTCCTTAAAGAAAGAATTTCTGACAAAACGCCCCTACTCATTCCTCTCCCCTCTTCCCATTTTACAAGTCCCCCAAAAGGCCGGTTATCAACCCATTCCAAATCAATGTATCGGCCACCATAAACGTACAAGGTCGAAAACGATATCATTTGGAAAGTAGATGGACTACAAAGAATTAAATAAATAGATGTCATCTAAATCAAAACCAACCGAGCTTGGTCGCTCATGATGAGTTATTTACATAACCTCGTCCTAGTTTGAAATCACTTAAACCAGCCTTGACAAAGCTTCTTACCAAACTTGTGATAATGACCTAGGTTAAAATTTCTCACTCCCTCTTGTCTAAGGGAAAATGCCATATTCGTCCAAATGACCTCTTCCTATCCTAGGTCTCTTTAACAAAATATCTTCTGAGCTAACCAGCCATTAAAGTAAAGATACTACGGCGGTCCTAACAGAGTCCCTCTTGCTTCACCGTCATAATCATAAGGCTAATAATAACAAACTAATGGTGATGTGGAAATGGTTTGGACTGATCCCTGAGGTAAACGAAGCGGTATAAAGATATTTAGAATGGGTTAGGACTGCCCACAAAAGGTAATCAAATGCTTATTGGCAATATTACTATCTTCCATCCTCATGTAGTTCGCATATATACACTGTTTTAAAAACAATTTGTGAAAAACACATAATAGTACATTATGGATGATATAATACCTATTTTAACCTATAATATTTATGTGACTGATCTCTAATTACACAGGCTTTCAAATGTTACAAAGGAAAAAACAATAACTGAACCCAGTGCCCTAGTTTAGATAATAACTCTGGCTGGAAATGTGGTAGGGGAGACCGGGGTACATTAAGTACAGGGGAACGTTAGGACATTCTAATTATAATTTGAGCTATTATTTTATAAGACTGGAAATTTGAGCATAACATAGATAATTTTGTCATACATGATTGGCTAAAAAAGATTTGAAAAATATTTTGTATTTTAATTTTTACAGAAGAAAATGTGTTTTGGCATACCAAAAGTAATAAAACATATTTGCAAACTTTATCGTTTATATTTATAAATAAAGCTTCAAAAATCATAATAAATAGATTTTAGGAAAGCCTAAACCCTATTTTCCAATCTGGCAAACTTTCAGAATCAATAAACATGAATTAATATGATTTTGGATGCTATTTATAAAGTTAGTGGGCTCGGTCATAGTTGGTCATAGTATAGTTGGGACACGCCATTTTAGCTCATTTTATAAACAATTTTATAATTTTATAATTTTATTATTAATTTAGTATTGTGAATAATAAATAATTAAATACTTATCTTTCACTATGTTTATGATTAAAAAAAAAATTTTTTACATTTTTTTCTTTACAATTTTTTTTTCGCCAAAATAAATTTCCTAAATTTTGCTAAAAATTTTTTTATATAGTTATTGATTATGAATTATAATATTATCAATAAAATCATATGTGTCATAGTCTCTAGTTTTACTGGATTACTGATTTTAAATTTTTAAATTTATTTAGACCTCTATTTCACGAGTGTCCCAACTATCACATATGTGTGTCCCAACGTACACAGAGTCTGTCATAGTTGGGACAAAAAAAATTTTTTTTTTTAAATTCAATTTTCTAAAAAAATATAATCTTCATAAAATATATATTAATTATTTCTAATAGCCTATACTTTTGGGATTCAGAAGATATTTTAATTATTCAGATTAGTCTACTAATATTAAAATTATTAAAGTTTGAACGAAAAGTGTCCCAACCATCCCCGGTCTCCCCTATATGTCTAAATTTGAACCATCTACTCAATTTGATGGAGGAATAAATCCTTCACTAAGTTCTAAAAATATATACCGTCTGATCACACCAACCTACGAGTAAAAGTAAGGTTGATCGAAATTCAGGATTGGATTGGGGATTCTGATCTTAATTTTAGCCTCGGCATAATGTGATAATTTTTCCGATTTTATTGAAATTCAGACCATATTCTAAAATAAAATTTTGAAGGGGGCTGGAATCTTTGGAAAAACATTCTCAGATAGGATCGGGTTTTAGAAATAAGATCCATTGTGGGGCTCAATTCACGCAGCCAAAATACCCCGACATGAACCTTGAACCAGTGTCTACATGAACAGGGGGGGGGGGTTGAGTATGAACAATTTCATATATATCTGATGGGGGTAGGGTGGTGGTAAGCTCTCAGTGGTAGGGATTAAAAAATATATTTGGGATGTGGGGTAGGGGGGGGGGTTAAGCTTATGCATATTGCCTTCAAAATTTTCTCTCTTATGTAGATGCACCTTGAACTATCAATCATCATCATTCAAATAATAATTGACAATATTACTTCAACCGTACATTTCCCTTAATATAACTTAAATCGAACACAATATAGGAAATAAATGCATGATAATGAACACTATGGTCAACAAAACGTTAGCTGGGGTTCCTATTTATGTGAGACAAAAGACACCTAATATCAGTTGCGCATACATTGTTCAAATACAAGCCCCCAAATATCTCTGCAACACTCAGGTATCCATAATTGAGTATCATTTGGAATCCATAATTGAGTATCACGATCACCATTTGGGCATGCACTATTGATTATAAACTTTTGATCTATTTTTTTTAAACTTTACCTCTATATTTTTAATTCCCTTTTAACCTTAAAAAATTATCTTTAAGTATTACAGAAAGAAATATAGTTATAGTAAGTATCATTTTTATTGTAACATAACATGTGTTTTAAAAAATACCCTCTTTCATAGTGAATAAGACTTTGCCTCTTTTAATGAATCTTTAAAAAAAATTAATTGTTGAAGCCAACCCAAACCCTCTTCCTATTCGATTCTTTGTTTTTTATTTTATCATCAAAATTAAATTAAACAGAAAACTTCAAACTCTACATTAAAATTATTACTCTTGCTCCATAATAATAAATTATAAAATATCATTATAATTGAATAAATTGTTAAAAATTTAAATTTCCATATTTTGAATTGAGGATACATTGTACATCTTTCTAAAGTTTGATTCTAATTTGAGAATTGGTTTCTTTGTTTGCGTATGCCATACTAATATCTTATAAAAAAAATAATATTTTAAAAAGATTATAAAATAAATCAATATATAAGTAGGCTACATATATCGCGTTGCTTAACTTTGCGATGCACATATGATAAAATTTACAGTGTTAAGCTACTTTTAAAAGTAGCGCCCGGTTGAAAAGTTTATATTTTTAAAAATACATTACAGCTGCGCCGAACCTATCCATCGGCGGGGTAGAGTAAACAACATTCGCGGGAAGAAGACCTACATCCGAGAAGATTGGCTAAGCCGGGTCTTTAACTGGGGGAGGAGGGTTACGACCTTAGGGTACCTTCGACAGGGTAATAAAAGGGAGTTCTGAAGGTGAGGAAAAATAGGAGAATCGAATGGGGTTCTGAAGGTGGGGGAAAATAGATAAATTATTTTTATTAATATTATTTAGGATTTAAAACTTTGTCGGGCAAAGGGAGAAAAGAAATGAAGGAAATGAAATATAATGTTGAAAAAAATAAGCAAATTTAAATCCCACTGGGGAAAAAAAATATGATTTTCTGTTCTTGTAAATATCTATCATTTTAAGTAAATAAAATATTTCACTCTACCCCACCTCCCTGCCCTCCTAATATCTATACAATATATACAAGAGTTTGAATGAAAATTTAGTAAAAGTTAATCATTTTACAAAATAAATGACTATCAAATTTTTTAAAACAAAATTATTTTTATAAAAATACAACACAGTCAAAGGTAAAATCCAGATAATGCCTATAGCACCCAATAATCAAAAGAAAATCTCTTTTTAACTCCTAGAAAAATAAAAAAATCACAAACAATTGTAATAAGACAATCCTTATTTTCATTTATATAGGATTATAATAATTGTTAATTTTTAATGCTTATGGAGTAACGAAGTATAATTTTTCTATATAACATAATTCTATAAATAGTTTTAAAAAATATATTAATTTATATCAAAATACTTGGGTACAACTATTCGCCAGTGGTTCTAAATGTTGCAAATCTACGATTTTGCGGAGAAAATTGCTTTCAAGCCCATCTAATGTAAATTAGATTATAAAGTGTATTTTAAAAATTATTTTTTCTAACTTTCCTTTTCCTACAGGACTCATTCATTGATTTCTGTTAAGATATTAGAACTGGTGTAATTCTCAAAACTACCAAATAATTATTTTCATAATTATGTTTATTTTAGATTAATGCCATATACTAGAAAGCTCATAATGCTAGAAGATAGCAAACTAAAAATCAAACTTTGCGCCATAAAATGTTGCAGCTAATATACAAACTTAGTTTGTACAAACTAGCTAGAATCTAAACCTGCTACTTTATAATCTAACTAGCTAATATACAAACGACTATTAATCTATAAACTAGCGAACTAATTTACACTATTTACTAGCTTTATATACAAACTTAGCTAGCTAATATATAAACTTATTTACACATTTACCAGTTTTATTATATACAAACTATTTATCAAATTTAACTAGTTAATAAATATACTTAGCTAGCTAATATATAAACTTATTTACACATTTACCAGTTTTATTATATACAAACTATTTATCAAACTTAGTTAGTTATTAAATATACTTAGCTAGCTAATATACTAACTTAGCTAGTTTTTACGAACTATTAGAATCTTTATCAGTTAGTTTATAAATTAACCAGCTAATACACAAACTAGACAACTAATCTATAAACTAGCGTACTAATTTACACATTTGTCAGTTTTATATACAAACTAGCTTGTTAATGTGCAAACCTAGCTAATATACGAACTTCGCTAGCTAATATACAAATTTATCTAGCTAGTGTACAAACTTAGCTAACCATTATCAGAAGCGTCACTAAAGGGGGAGGCAGGGGATCGAGCCCCCACAAAAATCTGATTTTTTTTTATATACCATGTAAATTTAAAAAAAGCTAGATAAAAAACACAGCAATTTTGAAAATAATTTTGAGCCCTCTGAGATTGTAAAGGCTAGTGACGCCCCTGAGCGAGCTAATATGAATGAATTTTTTTTAGATTTTGGAGAATATATATCATGATTATTTTTAGTAAATAACTTTTGTATATATTTTTTCAATTCTATGAGTAATTTTTTAATTAATAATTTTTAATTAATAATTTTTAATTAATAATTTTTAATTCAATTTTTACTTTTTCGATTACCTATCTATTTTTTTTTCCTACTCATTATTTAGTATTTTATTATTTTAAAAATAATTTGCTTGAATCTTTTTTAATATATGCTTTATTTTTTCTATTTTTTATTATTTTATATTTTTTAATTTTTCACTCATTTTATTTCTTCTCATTTTTAAAAATTTTATTTTAAAAAATTTAGAAATTTTTTTTAGCATTTTTTGTCATTTTTTCCCCCATATTTTTTGAGTTTTTTTATCGCACCTTTTAAATTTTGCTTAATTTTATTTTTATTTTGTTCCAATTTTTAGTCTAGACATATTCATATTTTAAACCTGGATTATGTAATTCGTCAAAATAAACGTCACTATTTTTTAAAAAAAGATTGAGATTGACAGCGAATCCCGCCATATCCGTAGCCATAGGTCTTTTCTTATCGTAAGCTACTAACCATTCCGCCACTTTCCCGTTAACCACTAAAGGCCTCTCCAGATATATTCCACCGCAAAAGGCTACAGGCCATACCCCAACACTCTTTATCTCTCTCATCTTAATGGCAATATGAAAAATATGGTTAGTTATCATATGAAAAAATTGTCGCCAATTTAGATTACAATTTGACATTTTTTAAATTAATCGAAAAAATTATACTGGGTGACCCTGCATTCCCCATTATTTTGTATACTTCGCCACCAATTCGCTATGACTGTGAATGCAGGGTGAGTGAGATATATTATATGTACAATGATTCTTTTAAAATCTAAATAGGCATTCTTTCCTGCTTTTCATTCCTTACTTTTTATTTTCTAAATAAATAAGAAAAACTTGATAAAATAAATCCAGATCATAAATATTGTCATCATCCGCAAAATAAACTATCCCATTTTTGTTATAAGTATTATCTTGCCACACAGGACTATTGGTGGAACTTCTTAAGCTTTTACGTTGGAAAGGATTAGTAGATTTTCGGTATTTGTTTTCAAAGTGAGATGCCATTTGTGTGTAAAAAGTTGACTGGGACATTGATTTCCTATGATTCGTTGTATTTGATTTTGAACTAGGTGTGGGTATAGACGATTCATAGACATGGAACGAGTTTCTCAACCAAGCTATACCTAGATTTCTTTGCGCACATCCTCTGTAATGATTCAGGTCATTCTTTTTAAATGAAGATAAAGAAGGTTTTTTAAACCAGAATAACTTTCTTTTTGAATGATGTAATAATTAATTCTCCCCCCCCCCCACCCCCACAAAAAAAATCAAGGGCATTTTACGTTCCCGTTCCGGTCAAAAGTTTGCTCTGTTCCGGTTCCGCTCCAGCAGTCAGAAAGTTTCGGAACGTTCCTAGATAAATATCTAAATATATTTTTTAAATCTACACATTTTAATTAATCTTTATTTAATCATTAAATGAATCAATTATTACATTTGAAGCAATAATTTATTTTCTAAAAGATTATTATTTATATTGGTTCTTTGTGGTGTTAGTATAAATGTGAGAGTCGAAAAATAACATAATTACATATTCTCTGTGGATGTACAAATGAGCGTATGGATGCTGAGAATTTTTCAAAATATTTGCAACTTTGGATGAAGGCTCATTGGCATCTTCTATAACGATCCATCTAACGTTAGGAACTAAAGCCAGAGTGTGAGTCATTCTGGTGAGGTGAGCTCTCTGAGTGATAAGGTTCACCGTAGGAGTAATTATATATATGACTGGTAAAGAGGGAATTATCATCTTTTCATCTAAGTAATAAACCAAATAATAATATAAATCATATTCATATGAAGTGTGATACAAATATACCACCCAAAACCAAAAATAATTCTGGTTATACATGTTGGCTCTTTGCACGAAAAATTTTGGGGAGGGCCAACTTAATATTCTGATCTCCGTCCATTTCGGTCGAAATGGATGACTTCCTTAATTAAAACAAATTTTTATGCAGTTAATTATTCTATTTATGCATTTATTTTAATATATCAAATAATTCCAAGTGATGTTTTAACAATTATTTAAGATATGATCTTAATTTACAACTGTTAAATGGACCTATCAGAAGAATGGATGAATTTACGATCAAATGACTTTACGATCATTGTAGGCAAATCAAATTTTGCAAATAGTTATATTTTGACCAAAATTTATTCAAGATTCCAATGACGATTTAATAATTTATTTGGATAACTAATTTTGAAGTTATGGCAATTTACAGGAAAATATTATAATTCAAAAATGAGTTTTAAATGTCATATCTTTATAAATATCTGAAAAAACATGTTAACTTTAGTTTTTCAAGATTATTTTTAAATTTTAATTTCAAATGCCCCCATGGATCAATTGAACCAATTATCCAGAAAAAAATTCTCGAATTACATGAAGTAGGAATGAATAATTCATCCATACCAACAGAAAAATAATCAGATATAATATCAATATATTAATAGATCCCGTCGAATCTGCTCTCAATGGCCTTAAAAGAAGTCAAAATGTGACAACATCCAAGGATAAGCGAATTTTGCAATAAATTGTTGGAAAATTTCGGATAAAATTTGTTCATTTGATTCAAAAGCAATATAACAAAAAATATCTGCAACAAAAGATTGCATTTTTTGGTTTATAATATTTATAAAATTTTAATTTTAATAACCGTAACTGTACTTTTTAGTTTAATGATGGGCTAAGAAAAAATTTCTACTATCGGTTCAAAAGAAGAAATTATATTATTTTGCGAAGAAATATAAAGATTGAATCTTTACCAAATTGTCAAAAGTTGTTTTGGCGACGAGTCTAAGTTTATATTGGAATTTAAGAGTATTCGAAATAATGTGATACGCATGGAAAATAAAGTATTCCGATCTGATAAATTTGTTGTGTTTGGACCGATGGGTCCCCCAGTCTGAATGGGAATAATACAGTCCGTGATCGGGGGTCCGGGATGGTCAATGACTGGATCCAGGGGGCCGGGTTTTATCGATTTAGTCATGGAATCACTTGGACAACGTAATTTTCAAAGTTTATTCGAATAAGTGAAATTACAACAAAAAAAAATTCAATTTAAAAAGCACGAAAAATAATTAATAATTAATGGTGTTTTGTTTTCCACCTTTATAATTTTTAAAACAAAAGGGAAAAAAAAGTTGTTATTTAATCGCGATATAATCATTCATGAAACTGGTAAGAACCAAAAATAAGGTATAATATATTAATTTCATAACAAAATAAAGGAAGATGGGAAAACAAAAGAAACAAAAAAGAAATAAGGGGGGATAGAACATAACACTCCTCCCCTCTTAAATACGGCTACCCGGCCGTCGGCGCCGATTTCATTCTTAATTCCTACAAAAATAAACCAAAACGGCATTCGCCGCACCGCTGGTTTAGAGCGGATTTAATAACGAAGGTAAACCCTACCTTAAGTCAATAAAATAAATAAAACGGCATTCGACGCACCGCTGGTTCAGAGCGGATTTCATTACGACTAAATTTTTAAAACACGTGGAGGACATAAAAAAAAGGGATTTGTAACAGGTGGAAGACCACACATAAAAAAATCAATATATATAAAATCAAAATAAAAAAAAGGTGTTTTTGTGGGAATACGGCATTTTCCTCCCCTCTTAAATTGGGCTACCCCGGGGTGGTAGGTCCAAGAGATCATGTGGGTTATTTGAAATTTGTTGAGTCTGTACGCAGTCGTTTCGTCTGGTACGTTGGGTTGGGTCGTAGGAATATTTCGAGGAGTATACTGAGAGGAGTTATAATTGTTGAAAGTTTGTTTCATTGGGCAATTGTATTTATAATGCCCCACGTTCCCGCAATTATAACAGGTTGGGTTATCATTCCGTGGTAAATTCCGACGTGGGGGTTGATAGTAATTCTCTAAAGTTTGCGGGGTGTTTTGTACATGCGTATACTTTGTGGGTATGTTTATTTGGTTGCTGTAGGCGTGGTTCTCGCATTATTTTGGTTAAGCGCTTCGGCCATTTCCCAGGTTTGCGCAATTTTTAGCTTCCCTTTAAACGTTATATTATCGGACGTGATTACGTGACCTCTTATTCCGGAGGATTGTATCTCCGCTCCGAATTGGGAGGACAGGAAAAGGTCCCAGCTGGGGCCTAGATCGCACTGTGAGGCCAAAGCTATCAAAGCTTCCGCATATTCAGTAATCGTTTCACCATCTTGCTGGATGCGTTGACGAAGCTTGTTGATTGATAGACCTTTGTTGTTATTATTGTTTCCCAAAATCGTTTTTACGTCCTCTATTGACATTTCCAACATAGGCCTTGGTGCAAAGGCTAATTTTAATTTTGAATATAGGCTGTGACCGCATGATGATAAGAATAATGATAGTAAATTTGCCTCAGGTTGATGTCGGTGGATAAGCATAAAATGTTCGAGGTAATGATCTGTTGGTTCTTCCGGGTCGTAGATTACTAACAGCTACCAGGCATTGTTCGAGAAAATACCTAGAAGACTTCAGTTCGTTACTAGAGCATAGAAAGACTTTTTAACTTTTGACTTATAATTAGTACGTGTTACATTCCAAAATGATAATTTTGTTTATGCTATAACCTCTTAACATATTCAACCTTTTTCAAATTTTTGTTCATATGCACAATTATAAGTATATTTAATACTATAATTATTAAAAAAAATAAATATTTCATCCTACATTAATAAAGCGTTTAATATTTCATTGCATATAGTAAAAACCGGTATTATATGCTTTTCGTTTATCTTAACCCGTACACTATCTTTTGCACCTTCCAGCTATTTTAATAATCAGAAAAACGATAATCGTGACCACCCACCACGCTACAACTCTTGTCGCTTAGAATTGTAATAGAGAATTGGGTTAATTATTAACAAATAAAGAATGATTTGAGAAAAATTACTATTTAGATAAAAATTATAACATGTAAACTTTGGAGATTCTATTCCCGTAAGATCATGTAGGTATAAAAATGATATATAAATATATTATTGCAACTACTTTATTGAATAGAATAAGGTATATTGGGAAATAATTATAAAAAAATAGTGAAATTTATTGACAATTTAAACAAATAAAGAATGGATTGAAATTGAAATAGATCCATGCGAAAAAAGGGCATTTACGTAGGACGATAATTTAATGTATATTCTTTCACTTTCTTGAATATTTGTCTTGAATATAATTTTAAACCTATCGTTAATCTTGATTTATATCTTTTTACTGTTGGGCCGGGGTGGCCTAATGAGTTAGATGTATGCTTGGTAACAGAAGGATGAAGAAGGACGCAGGTTCAATCCTGGTAAGGAGCATGAAAACTTTCAAGCTTTTCTTCGATGACTGATGTGTAAAGTAATATGGTATGATGAATTTCGGAGCTTAGAGATGACACCCCGTTCACCGACAGGCCTGGACAGCTGGGTGCTAAGAATACCTGTCCAATAAACAAAATGAAGAAACAAATGGAAATATGAATATGAAAGTTAGGGCGTTCCCTCCAAGCGACGCGCAGGGTGTAGACCTCAACCTGTGAAAAGTAAAGTAAAGGTCAAAGCAAAGAAGACAAGATTAGCAAGTTTGAATATTGGGACTCTTAAAGGTAAAGAGAAAAGTTGATATAGCGTGCATACAAGAGATGAAATGGAAGGGACAGAATGATTGGAAATGGGTATAAATTGTACTATAATGGAATTGCTAGCAATAGGAACGGTGTCGGCATCATCCTCAGTCAAGATCTAACCTCCTTAATAGTAGAAGTCAACAGGATCTCTGATAGATGAAGATAAAACTCTGCATTGGTCAATCAATACTATACATTTCAGTATATGCTCCTCAAACGGGTTGCAAGGAAGAAGAGAAAGATTTCTCGGTTTGCAGGTTCCTATTTCTTATTCTGATTTAAGAATAATTTGATTAAATCATAAGAGGTTTCAACAAACAAACTTTAGAATATTTTGTTTTAACAATCAGTTTATCTTTCAATAATCAATATCTTTTAAGTATAAGCAAATATTCGTATTATATTATTTATAAAAAATTAATTTGTGAAATCTAACATGGAAAATATTATGATGAAACTTTTATTTGGTGATAAAAAAAAATCTGAAAAGCAACCTTTAAAAAAAGGTAATATATATTATAGACATGTTTAATTTTATTTTATTAGTTAAACAAAAGGGAAAAATTAGACAGTTCTTTGAAAAATTGGTAAAGAAAAAATCCATTGATCTGAAAGGAGCGGGAGAAACTAATGTTAAAGATGACATTAGCAATATCAATGCGATGATAGTTCCAGATACTAATCTTAAAGATGCCAATTTGTTAAGTGATTGCCTCAAACACAAAGAGAAATCTCCAACGGCTCATAAAGAGGGTAAAATAAATATTATAGATATGCTTATGATTTGTATCATATTAGACAAACAAATATGGGTCAAACTTAATAACAATAAGAAAGTTACCTTTCCCGATATTAGCATGGGGGATGACGATAAGAGCGGACAACGTCAATATAGATTAAAACCTTTGGATTTCAAGTAAATTAGATGGATTTAGTTGTTTTTAAGGTTAGCAAATAAAGCGATTGAAGAATGAATTTAAAAAAACTATTATTCCATTCTTGAAATTTTTGAAAATTAAATTATTTAAAATATTTTGAAAAGTGAAAATATGAATTAAGTCCATCAAAACGAATTATAACGTAATTGGATCGAATCCTTATCATTTATCTATTCGATTCGAATTCTCAAAAATATAATATTTTTATTTGAGTTCTTAAAATACGAATCGCATATCGTAAAACAAATAATTTCTTTTTGGCATAATGTATAATTAATCCAATTGTTGTGCAAAGTAAAAGGAAGAAAGATAAATTAAAAGAGAAAAATAAAAAATGAAAGTAATTCTGTTTAGAAGATGTTTAGTTAGAATTTAGAATATAATATTATTTTTTTTGTTGAAATTAATGATAACTTTTAAACAAAATATTCAAAATATAGTGAATTAGGTCTTAGTGCTAATCGAGAATCCAAAATGAACATATGCGACTGGACAAATTATAAAGGTAATCAAATTTCCCTAGAATATTTGACTAGCTAACACATCTTTTTTCTCCCTAAGTTTAATTGAATTTATAAAATCTTAATTCTTCATAACCTTTTTGCCCATCCATATTTTGCAAATTATTACTGCAAGTTATTAAAATTTACGCATAGAAATCTTCATTTTTATTTAATACCCATAGAATCGTCCAACAAAACTATGCCGCATAGTAAATTTCGCGGCATTAATTCCAGGGAAGAAAGGGGTATAAATTTATATACCATTTTATTTCTCCAATATATTTTTCCTCTAGGTTTTTTTAAAATTTATATACGAAATTTTTTATTAATAAAGTTCTAAGAACACCGAAGCCCAAATTGTCCGAATTTAGATGTCACGGTGTCGCAGGAAGTGGAAAATTTGAGATGGAATTTAAAGTCAAGCTAAGGAATTCCACCCAAGAATATGCTTTGAAGTTTCTCAACAGACGATATTTCAATAGATATGAGGTTTATATTTATTTATCTTTTAATTTAATGTGATTGCATTATGGGCTATTTTTTCCATTTTGGATTGTAAATCATATATTTTGTATATAGAATATCGCTTCCGTCCGGTGTATTCGATCAGAAATAAATGTTCTTAAAACTAACAAGAACCATCCTTTCCTGGTTGGACTTTATGCATTTTATCAAACTCCGCGCAAGTATTTTATTATTTATCACCGATTTAATGAGAAAGTATGTAAATATAAAAGTTTTAGCTAGGAGCATGACTGCAAATATTTTTAAAAATGAGAATTCTATATATCAATTGATTATGCCTCATGCTAGTCATTTCTTTAAAGCTGCTCTTTGTTTGCAATGTTATAAGATATAATTTTATCTCCTATCTTTGATAAGAGCGTTTTAAATAAGCTAACTTTCAAAAAAATTAGTTTAAAATCTCATATTATTTTATTTCGTAGCTATATAATAGTGAGAGACTTCACTTCAGGGGGTGATCTTAGATCCCTTTTAAAAAGATACGGAAGACTCCTTGAAGATCACGCTATATTTTATTCTGCACAAATCGTGATTGCCATAAAATATTTGCACGACAACGGTTTTTAGAAAAAATATATTTTCTTGTATTTATTATATATTATTGTTAATTTTAATATAATTAGGTACAATTTTTAAGTAACTTTTACTAACTGCAATAGTTACCTTTTTGATAAAGTAATTTCTATCTTTAGCTAATTTCTACTCAATCATTTAATAAAAACTTTTTAGAAATTCAAATACAAAGTTTATTTTTATCTTTTAAGGGATCATTCATCGTGACATCAAACCGGAAAGTATACTTTTAGACCGGAAAGGCCATGTGAAGACTAGGCAACTTTCTATATTGCAAGGTATGTAAAATAATTATTTTTGAAAAGATTTGATAATAGACATTTGTGCCAATAAAACTATCTACGGCCAGCGGTACGTTCCTTTTAACTGCCGTCATTTTGGGCGACATAAATCGGCACTGACTTAAAATTTTTATAATATACAATTTTTAACTTTTTTTATTAAGAAAAGCTAAATATAGCTAGAAATAAAATATATACAACAGATATATGAGCATATCATTAGATCTTTATTGTAAAGATAACTAATTTTAAATTAAAATAATATTTTGTAATTTTAATCATTTTAAACGAATATCAGAGTATAGATCTGTGCTATCAAGATCTAGCAATTCCAGTGTTTATTCTATTGTATTTGGAAAATTTTTTCTGATTATCTCGGATTCAAACTCTCTCTTCTCTTCTCTCCTCTCTTCTCTCTCTCTCTTCTCATCTCTTCTCTCTCCTCTCTCTTTCTCTCTCTCTTCTCATCTCTTCTCTTCTCTCTTCTTCTCTTCTCTTCTTCTTCTCTCTCTTCTCTTCTCTTCTTCTTCTTCTTCTTCTTCTTCTTCTTCTTCTTCTTCTTCTTCTTCTTACCATTTTATATTATTATAGCAGTTATTATCTCTCTTATTCTTTCGATTAGATTTTCAACCAAAGATTTTTTTTAGTACTATCCACCTGTTACTAGATAATATAAACCATGAACTAAACATAAGTAGTGTTTATATTCACTATCTTATCTAACCCTTTTTTAACCAACAAAAGTATTTATCAGAATTTATTGAAATTGTTTTATAATTTCGTTTTAAATATAAAATTCCCTAAGAATTTTCTTACAGATGATTTTCTATTTTCATGATGTACGATAATAATATCAAAATCATTTTTAAATTTATGAAATGCCTATGCCGACATTATCCATTTTAAAAATATCCAAATAAATGGTATATCCTTTGTAGTTTTCGATCTTTGATTGTATGAAGGTTAGCTGGCGCATGGCTGGAGATAATAATTTTATTTAATTTAGAATTTAAAATTGGTACGAAATACTTGGATCCACGAAACAAAATATAAATGTAGAAACCAAAATATAAAAACTTCTTTTTAAATTTCCAGGAATAGGTTCCGGAAACCGATTAGAGTATTATAAACATTTTGTCGTTCCTTAAAAAAGAATTTGAAAATGGAACCGTACCATTTAATTTAAGCCAAAGAAATATCGATAAGCTTTTATTATTTCAACAAATTATCAGTTCTAGTACTCTTAATTTAATTAATTCTTATTAAATCTTGTGTAAAAATTATATTTAATGCTGCGAGAAAATTCGTACTTTGTTGAGTCGAGCTATTACGGATTTATGTATCTATCGTAATTATTTAAATTAGGAGGGCATAGCAAAAGATGAAATGGTTAAAGGATTCTGTGGGACAATCCCTTACATGGCGCCCGAGATTATGCGCAATGAATACTATGGTAAGCATGTTATTTATTTATGTATATCTATCTCGAATATAGAATTTTTTTTTAAAATATTTTTTAAACTTAACTAAAAATTTTAATAAAAAATATTTATTCTTAGATAAATATATTCTTTAAAAATTTTATATTAATTATGAAAGATTTTAGCGTAGATTGGTACTCTTTCGGAGTTGTTCTCTATGAACTACTAATTGGCCCTGTCGATTTACTAGGGTCTGATGAAGCAACTTCTCGCTACTACCAGGGTTTAATAAATTACACTTTTAATGTTTCTTTGAATTTTGTTTTTTTAATAATTAGTTAGCATTTTTAAAATTATTTTTATAATTAAATAACATGTAATCATGTTTAATTTTTTTGTTTAATTCAGCAATACTTTCAGGTCCATGGCGTGTTTCAGTCGAAGCCACCTCTATATTGAATGGATTCCTCAATATGGTTTGATAAAATAATTAGTGCATTTAAAATATCAATTATATATATTATGATCACAGAATCCTGAGGAAAGACTAGGAAGCAATCTAGAAAATGGTTTTAATGATATTTCCTCCCATTCATTTTTCGCCTCAATTAATTGGGATAGGGTAAAATGTGTTTTTATAATTTTAAAAAAAGAAAAAAATATATACATAGTATTATCATATTTTTAAAATTAAATTTTTCTTCTCCCTTCTATTTAGCTCCAAAAAAAGGAATTATACCCACCTTACAAACCGAAGAGAAACATGAAATTTGGGGTTTTACGATATTTCTTCGGTGCATTACTATATTTAGCATACATGAAAGACTTAATGTGATTATAATTATTATTATCAAATCTAATAAATAGTTGAAAAAATAATATTGAAAATAATTTACTTTAACCTATGCTTTATAATCCCAAAGCAATTTATTTTTTAAATGCTGCTTAAATTTGTTTATATTTAAGAACAACTTAAGTTAAAATTCTTGAAATTAAAATTAAAATATAATTATCAATTTTTGGCAAATTATTGAAAATTGTTTATTGAAAAATTTGTCTTATAAATGTTCCAACCTATGACTAGTTTCGTTTCGCCCAATGCTAATATTTTAATTTATTATTGCTCATGTAATTTTAGCGTACTTTAATAAGTTTTAAACAAAGTGCCTTAAACTTTATAAAAATCAGGGAATGAATAAAGATTTTATATCTGCTTCTTTTTTAAAAAGAATAAGATAAGTTAGAAAGTCCTGCGAATTCCTCCAAAAGCAAATGTATAAATGCTGACAAGGGTATAAATATTTAAAAAAATTAGTTAAAATAAACACACCAACAGGGATAAAACTAAATATGTACAAGATTTAAAAACCCTGACCTGAAAAACAAGAAATTTTGAAAAAGCTCTATTAAATTTATAAAATGAAGTTATGAATCGAAATTTCGAGGCCCCGGCAATAATTTTAAGCCTAAAATATTGATTTGTATATTTATACTAAGTTTGTACATCTATATTTGCTTTCATTAGAGTAAAGTAAAAATAAACAATATTTTGGCAAAGCTAAATGATTGGTTAAATAGATGCTAAATCTAAATTATTTAGATATTTTTATCCGATTTTAGTGCTGAATTAAACGAATCTAGTTCATAATAAAAATCAATGCTTTTACCGAAAAAACGGCGTTTATTCAAAATAATGAGGGTTTTTACTAAAATATAGGCAAGTATTCCCGCATTCTTAATTTTATCTATATATAAAATAACGAAAATAAAAATAATTAACTTACTTAGAGTTCAGGATTCGAGTTCATAACTACTGTTTAGAAACTGAGTTCACAATTCGAGTCAATTTGGGGTAGATTATTTCGATCCAAGACTAGGCTCCGGTTGTAGACTTAGCCGATTAATAACACTAATATATACAGCCAACACTGTCTAATTTGGGCATCATCATGACTAAGATTTTTGCCCAATTTATTATACTACTTAGCTTTATAAAAACCTTTTACCAATATGTTAAATACTTAGTTTAACAAAAAGTGAAATTATGTTCAACTTTTGAAACTTTTGAAATTATTTTTTTAATATTAATTCATCTAAATCATAAGTAAACTGTATATGTATAAGAGACCTGCAGTAGTACCATTTGCGCAACCCGGCCCAATTTTTTTAAAATTTCGGTCAATATATGTAAATTTTTTCAACAGCCTTGGTTTTTAAAAAAATTTAAAAATAATATTTCATTATTTATATCCCAATTTGTCGTAAGAGGAGTGAATTTTCGACTCGTCGATGGTAATCTAATTCCATTATTTCCTGATCCTCTTGTAATCTAATATAGTGTATTTTATTTAAGTAACAGTCATTTGCACTCCTCCTCTGGCAACATAATTAATTGCCTGAATTTAGCATAGAGAAAAAGAGTGATAGAATGGTATTTATCTAAAATGAATTTACCCTTGTAAGGAGTATATTATAGTTTAGATATTTAATATACTTTGTTTATTTCTACAGTTGATTGTGCTATTATAATGTGTGACATTTTGCATTTGAATATTTGATGTGTGTTTTCTAAATAATGCTCTTCAATATGATGCTGATCATAATTTAATTGAGCATACTGATTTGAGGCATCAAAATTGGGCTTTATTATTTTAGTAATAAATGATAGAATTGGAAGAATTTCCAGAATTGGTAGTTTTCACCAATATTAAATTAATATTACTAGTGTGACTTAATGAATAGATTTTCTATCACATTTCAATAAAAAAAAAGAGAAAAAAAAATTAATGAATGATTTGGATGTTTATAAAACATGTAGCAAAAATATGAGCTAAAGGATTACGGGTTGGCAAATCTATTCGCCACTAATTTCAATAAATAAAAATAACCTATCTTTTTTAGTAGATAGCGTGATATTTTCCAATTATTTATATATTTAGGGCGCTCCTTTTTTTGAATACTTTCAAATTATAATGAATGTAACTATAAACATGAAAAGTTAAATAGAGTATAATTACTTATAATTTTTTATGATTTATTATTTAATTTTGAAATTGTAACTTATATTTTCAATTTATATTATAAACCTAAATCATCGTGTGTAAATTATTTAAAATGTCATCGCAAATGGTTATCGAAATCGATGTAAGTGTGAGTCAGACAATGAAAATATTGATGAAGTGGAAGGTATTCTAGAATATAATGTTCTTGATAACAATAATACAAATTTCCCATTTCCAAAATTTGAAAAATATTTTCAAATTAATTCAAATAAAATGTAAAAAAAATATATCCTCAAATAAATCTAGTAGCTATTATAACCTCAAAAAAACCTAATAGTAATTATCATTTTTAAATTCTAATAATATTTTTATTTTGTAAGTATGTTCATGCCATCAGTTTTAAAGGGATAGAAAAATATCTTAATAATTTTGGTATAGGGGAGACTACATCCAAAATAATCAATTCACAAACCATGATTAATAATATTGCCCATGCCAATATTTCTCAGAAACTGGCTGATAAAGTCATTGTCGAATTTATAATTGATTTTCAATAAGGGCAGCAGCTAAATTTTGTAAAAAAAAATTCTACAAGGCATTATTCTTTATTTTTGTAAAATATCCATGTATAAATTTAAAAAAAAGATATGTCTAGCCATAAAAAACTCTGATTCATATTTTACTAATTTATTCTTTAGTTAAGAAATTTGATATATTTTATTAATAATCTTTAACAACGCAAAATTTTCTATAGGAAAGAATCAAGGTTATCTGTAGTAAAAAAATTAAGTAAATTTTAAAAAAAAAGGATTTCTCTTAAACGACTATTTGATAAATATTTGGTTTATTTTCTTGTAATGTAAATCAATTATTTCTTTTGTTGTACATTTGTAAAGATTATAATTATATATGCATGTGTTTAAATTAAGTCGTTAATATGTTAAATTAAATACTCATAAGACTGTATATTAAAAAATGTAAACTACAGCACGCCACCCATTACTAAACCCAAGTGTTATGGGTGATTGATAATACATGACCATATGCTAAATGTGAACGTTTTTCATTAACTCAAAACTTTCACCTATCTTGATTGTCTATAAAATTTTGACCAAAATACCAATATCTTGAACAACTTTATAATAAGAAATTAAGAAATTCGGTTTGTTCATAGGAGGATGCCGTTGGAATTATATTGCGAAGTTGTTTTTTCGTCCATAGGAGGAGGCCGTTTGACACTTCTCTCACGAAAAATAAAGATATGCGACCTTTTTATCTATAGGAGGACACCGTTTAATTTGTCTCACGAATAAGAATAAAGAAAGCATATATTGTATTTTGAATTCCAGCACTATACATTCTAATAAAGGTTTTTGATGGTGCATTACTATTCAAATAACCATCATTAAATGCATATCATTTAATATGTCAAATGCAGTTTAATCTTGATTTAGTTTTAATGCTTTTATCATATTTTTATCAAGGTCAGTGACAAATATAATATATTAGAAATCTTCTCTATCGAAACCAAAGTTATAAAAAAAAATTTAATAATTCATTCTTGAAAAATCTAATTAAATCTAGCAGTGAATATATTTTCCTTGTTATAAGTGCATGATTTTTATAAAAGAATTTATTTATGGTCATCGGTAGTGTGTTAAACGGCTCGTTTTGAACCGATTAAAACGGCTAACTCAATATTTCATCTAAAATAATATTACTCAAACCTGAAGATATTTATAGACACTGCCAAATCGACACTAGGCTTGACAAGGGGAGGGAACAAATCATACAAAGAACTATGGTGGTGGAATGAAGAGGTACAAACAACTATACAGGAGAAAAAAGCCCTATATAAAATATTGTACAAATCCAAAAACCCAAATGACAAGACAAATTACAAAAAATCAAAGAGAATAGCTACGAAGGCGGTAACTAGGGCTAAGGCTATGGCACACGATGTGACATGTTTTAACTTTGCCTAATAATAAAAATCAACTTTTAATACAAAACTTATTATTAATTAAAATTGTTCTTACGTGACCAATATATCTCTCCTATTAATCTTTTAGAATAACAAGTTTGTACTTTATATATTTCTTTTCCCTTCAAAATTAAAAAAATGAGAATAATATTTTATTTCTTTTTTCTTTAAAAAAACGAAAACGCAATAATTAGTTTTATTTCTTTTTTTCTCTATATATATATCTATTTAATTAATGCATAATAGTGCTGTAAACATTTTTAAAAAAAATCGAACGCGTTCGCGTTCAACGTTCATTGACAAAAATCATACGCGTTCACGTTCACGTTCAAATTCAAAAAAAGGAACGCGTTCAAGTTCATGAACGCGTTCATATGTTCAAGTTCATGAACGCGTTCATACGTTCAAAATTTTATGATAAATTTTTTTTTAAAAATTTGATATAAATAAATGCCTTATATTTTTCAACACAATATATTAGCCATGATAAAAAATCATAGTTTTATTTTGATAATATAATTATAAATACAATATAAAAGAGCGATAAAAAAATAAATTTATAAAAAAATTTTCTTATTAATTTTTAATAATAATTGCTTTTCAAAATTTTCATCTGATAGGCATGAACGCTTGTCAGTTAATACAGCGTTAGCTATACTAAAAACTCGCTCAACAGGGGCAGATGAAGGGATTGCGGTGTTATACTTGATAAATAATTCTTTTAAAAGGGGGAATTTATTAAAAACATTTAATGTTTTATCCATTGTTTCAAAAAATTGAGCTATGTTATCATCCTCCAATCTGCCCTCTTCTTCCTCGTCAAAAAAAAAGGATATCTCGGAATTGATTTTAAAAGAATGAAATATTTTTTATATTTGGGCCATGGTAATTCTAATTCATCTAATATTGAATTTTGATTTTAAGAATCTGATGATGAAATATTTACATCCATGCAAATGCTAATCTATTAAATTAAAATATAAAATATTCAAATTAATAAACTTTAATCTTATCTTCTCTAGCAGTAGCACGTTATGGTACTTTAATTGCAATATGAAAGAGGAAAAAGTAAAAACAGCTGATTAAAAAATATAAGACTTTTTTGTTAAAAAATTGGATTAAATATTAATTTTTCAAATAAATAAAAATCTAAGACTTTTTTGTTAAAAAATGCGGATTAATATTAATTTTTCAAATAAATAAAAATAAAAAGTGTTTTTAAAATTGAACGAACGTAAAATTGAACGCGTTCATCAAAGAAAAGGAACGCGTTCACGTTCAAAGTTCGTCAAAAAAGGAACGCCGTGCATCACCTTTTTTTCAAAAAACGAACTTCGTTCACGAACGCGTTCAACGCGTTCATTTTGAACGCGTTCGTTTACAACACTAATGCATAATAATAAACAAAAAAATAATAATTTAACTCATTTTAAAAATAGCAATTTTTTTTATAATATATCACAAAAATGAATGCGCAAAAAAAAATCAAAAAATATTAATCACAAATAAAAATTAAAAGAATGAATGCGCAAAAAAATCACAAATAAAATGTTTATTATACAAAATGACTCCACGTTAACACGATACACATAACAACATGTATAAAGAACTACATACCAAAGAAGGGCAAAATAAAATATACAAATTAGCCAAACAGTGAGAAAAGAATTCTAGGGATATGAACGTAGCTCCGAAACTAATTAAAAATAAAGATAGGAAATTGATAATAAAGGAAAAAGAAATAATGAATAGATGGAAAGAATATTTTCAGGTTCTCAACTTTAATCCACACATACTACATTTAGATGAACACTCCTTATGTCAAAACCTTGTACAACCAATAACAGAACAAGAAATAATCATATGCCTCAAGCATATGAAAAACAACAAAGCTAGAAGTCCAGATGATATTCCAATAGAAAGCCTTAACGCACTAAGAAATTATGGAATACATCTCCTCACAAATCTGTACAATAAAATATTGGGGAAATGAAGAGATCCCTCAAAAATGGAGGCAGATCTATCTAGTTCCTATCTTCAAAAATAAAGGATCCACACAATTGCCAAATTTACAGGGGCATAAAACGAATGTCACTTTGTCTTAAACTCTACGAAAAAATATTAGAAAAAAGATTAAGAGACATAATCCAAATAGGAGTGACTCAGTTTGGCTTAATGCCTGGAAAATCAACAACTGATGCTATCCATGCAATTAGGCAAATGAGTGAAAAATACAGGGAAAAGAATAAAAAGCTACACATGGTCTTTCTCGATCTAGAAAAGGCCTTCGATAGAATCCAAAGAAACCCTATCTGGTAGGCGCTACGCCACAAAAAGATTCCCGAAAAATATATAAGAATAATACAGCATATGAATATGGACCATACAACAATGGTCCGTAGCACAACTGGTACTTCAACAGGCTTCACAATAGCCGAGGGAGTTCATCAAGGGTCGGTCTCTCAGCCCACTTCTTTCATAATAGTAATAGATGTATTAACACAGTCTATATCACAAACAGTCCCGTGGGATATGATATTTGCAGATGATATTGTGATACTTGCCGAATCCAAGGATGAAATGAAAGAAAGATTAGTGAGTTGGATAAATATCCTAGAAAAGCACGGACTAAAAGTAAATAGAGAAAAGACGGAATATATGGTGATAGGAGGAGATGAAACAGAGAGTATTGATATAAATGAATGGCAGATATCGGCAACTGAAAGCCGCAAATATTTGGCGCCCCTACTATACAAACAAACGGCACAATAGAAAAAAGAGATGCAAAGAGTAAAAATTAATCAAGGGTAGTTAAAGTGGAGATCTTTATCTGGAGTGCTATTTGACAAAAGAATCTTAACATAAATTAAAGGGAAAATTTTACAATGCCATAGTACCACCATCTATTCTATATAGTTTAGAAACATGGCCAACCAAAGAATCAGACTAGGAGAAGTCTACAAACTATGGAGATGAGAATGCTTGAGGATGATCGCTGGTGTAACAAGAGAAGGATAAAGTGCGCAGTACAAGAATACTAAGGAAGTTGAAAGGTAGTGCCCATTAAGACTAAGTTAATGGTAAATTAGGTGGTATGGGCACACAATGAGAAGGCCTATGAACTACATACGAGCTTGGAAGTGATGGGCAAACGTAAAAGAGGAAGGCCAAAACTTCAATGGAGCCATAAAAGAGCCAATATAAAGAAGATAAAAGAGATTGTATGAATAACATAAAGTGGAGAGAGATGTTGAAGGAGCTTACCACCAGAAAAGGTGAAGCTAATTAGAAAAATATCTGTTGCATAACAAAAGTTTGCTTTCTCCGTAACGATAGCAAGGACGGATTTTCATTATATTTATTATTGA